TTCATCTATCATCTATATATATATATATATGTATGTCATCGATCAATCACATCTTTCACTTATCTCTATTAATCGTTTATTTTCACAGGTGGCTTTCAATAATCAATGACTGGTCGACACTCTCTACCCGTCGACGTAATCAGTCAATCGATTACAGTCTAACTTCCAAGATTACACCACAAACTTTTTATTTATAAGGAAAACACATCGGCTCACCCTCGTGTACATGATATTAATGTTTTAAAGGTCAAACTTCCTTGCTTACATGTAAATGCATAATTTATCATATATCAATCATATTATTTTATCTATGCAAGTCAATATCATGTATGAAATAGAATAATTTATAAAATATAGAAAAATCTATACACTATTATTTTCCTCAAAAAATCATAACTATCAATTTACTGGGTAAATTTTCTATATAAACCAACTAAAATACTCATAAATATGATATCTATCACATACCAAAAGTTGTGCGGTGAAAATTCACTAAAAATAGAGATATTACATTTTTATCACTTTTAGGAAAGAAAAATATACCAAACTCAAAATTATCAAAAACAGAAGCAGAGTATAAGTCATTTACATTGATAGGAATAATTTTCATAACAGGAGTGAAGGAAGAAAAAAACCCTTTTCTCCTCTCCTCTCCTCTCTTTTTCCCCCTTCTCCTTCCTTCCCCGCAAGGCAACAAAATGAGGAAGGGATGTCTTGGTGTTAAGTGATATTTTTATTTAAATATATTAATAACTCTTTTTAGTGCCTACGTCATGGCGCCCAAGTCCCAGCGCTGCTGCACTGCATGTCAAGCCCATAATTATTGTAAAACAAAGCCTTCCACGCTGTGGCAATATTTCCTGATGCAACAGCGCTGCATGCAGAATTTTTATATTTTTAAAATAAATATCATTTTATAAAATTCAAGGTTATTAAATTAATAATTAGATATCCTAACATCAAATGTTAGCATATTCAAATGATTTTTAAGGGGTTGTTTGTACTTTATTTTATGCGAGATTTAGATTAAATCTTGTCAAATGAAATTTTTTAGACACATAAATTCCATTGCTGGTTAAATTTGGATTTGAATGAGTTAATATGATTTAGTAAATCCTGCTAGCTTCAAATTTATAGTATTTGCGCTCATCTTTTGCCACCTACACCATCTTTCTCCTCTTGTCACTAGTCTCTCCTTCCTTCTTCCTCCTCTCATCATGAGGGCCTTCCCCACTATAGCCATCATCCTTCACTCTCCATTATAGTCTTCAAACTTTCTCATATCATTATGTTACTCTTTCTCCTTTCACCAATGAGATCGCTAAGAGATAACTCATTAGCCTCTTTCGCTCATGGGAAGCTCGTGGCGTTAAACTTTTCTTCTCCTCTTCCCCTACTGTCGTTGGAAATTGTGGTTAATTTGATTTGTCTTCACCTTTTTTTATCACTATGCAATGGTATTCTTACTCAAGCGCCCATGATACTCTTGATCTACCTCGATTAGCTCATCAAAAACTTCATGGTAACACCTCTCAATACATTGATCCATTTTTTAATAGGATCAAGAAGTATTTGGGTGTGGAATTTCTATGACCACAATGACCATTGTGACAACTAATCCATGTAAACAAAAAAAACAATGTATGTTCGCTTTATTTTTTCCATGATGTTAGTGAAATGTATTCATTGCCCTATAAAACATTGGGTAAAAATGATTTTTCTCATTCTTGCAAAAAACCAATTAAGATGTGTTTGTTAAAGAGGAAGAGGTAGTGAAACAATTTCATGAGTGATTGCTTTAGCTGCGTTAAACCCTTTTGTGATTTATCAAAGTAACAAGCTTTCAACTTTACAAATTGTATCTCTGTGCTCTTTTAATAAGAATATTGTTGTTGCTTCAATGAGCAATTCATAAAAGGTGTTTATCCCGGAATGGACTAAAATGGTCCATCAACTCTTTGTGAGGGAACAAAATGCTCCTCAACTCTTTTGAGGGACCAATTTGGACTCTCAACTCCTTAAAACGGGACATATTTAGTTATCACGTTAACTTTTAATGTGAAATTTGGATTTACCGACCATGGGGGTATAATCTGAAAGAAAAGATGCAGAACCTTTTCATTATACAAAGCAGTAAATCATTTGAACTTTCCAGTAGCGTCGAAACCCCAACTAGGGGGTGTAAATGGGTTTTCGAATTGGGTTCAGGTTTAACCTGAAATTGACCCGAGTCCAAACAGGTTGACCCTAACCCGACCAAGTTTTGCAAACGAGTCAAGAATTCCAACCCAGACCCGACCAGTCGGGTTAACCCGGACCCCAAGAACAAGCCCCTGCTCTCTCCCTGGGTCGGAAGCAAATAGAAGTATGAAGCCCACCCGCTCCTTCGCTTCTATTTGAAGACCCAATCTCCCTCTCTCCGGTCCGACTTCAGTCGAACCAACCCAACTCACTGATCGGTCTCTCTCTCGCATACAGCCCCATTTGATGCCCACCCCCTTCTCCGCTCTGTTCGCATGCCACAACCGGGTATGTCGAGTGTCGACTGACGAACCGAACCCACCTCCCTCAAGCCACAATCTCACGAAGAAGCCATGCTCCATCCCCCTCAAGCCACGATATCAGCTCTAGCCAAAGCCCATCCCCTTCTCCGCTCCATTCACACCTCATCCGAATTCGGTTCAATTTCGGGTTTTTGGGTCAACTCCAACCCGATTCGGTTTTAAAAATGGGCCAGGATATTGAACCCGAAACCGACCCATTTGTTAAACAGGTTGTGACCCGAACCCAAAATTTTTTGGGTTGGGTTTCGGGTTGGATCAAATATTAACGACCCTAACACCAGCCGCATATGATTCCTATGTCTCGCAGCGTAGCGAGCATCAACAACAGCTTCTAACCAGCGTCCCGTAGTGCATGTCCAACGCAATTCGACCCTAGCATCCTGCACACTTGTCAACAAACACTCCCACAACCCTAGCGAGCGTCCGAAGCCCTAGCAAGTCATCGATCAAGCACTGAGCATCCATCGTGTCGAACACCAAGTCCCACAATTTAGAGAGCTTCATTCAATCGGGATCATCGATTGCGACACTTTCGTTAACTTCTCAGGTGCGACACATAGTCGTCTTGCAGTTACCATTATACCATTTCATAACTTTGTTGGGTTTTGACGCTCTATTTGGATTGTTTACATGTTGAAATGATTAGAAATCATGAAATTAACGAGATGAATTTGATTATTCCTTTTCACTGCAGAAATTTTGCCATGGATTCATCATTA